TTCAAAGTTGTTATCCTATTTTCATAGTAAAGCACCTTGGCCCTAAGGAAAAAAATTTTTTTTTCTAATGTGACAGTCAATGTGTTAAGAAATACGTTTTATAAGACTATACCTGCCATAGATAGGGATTTCTCTAATGTATCTGGGCAAAATAAATTGAAAACTTTCTGGAAAGGACTCACCATTCTAGATGCCATTAAAAATATTTTTGATTCCTGGGAGAAGGTCAAAATATCAACATTAACAAGAGTTTGGAAAAAATCGAGTCCAGCACTCATGGGTGACTTTGAGGAGTTCAAGACTACAGTGGAGGAAGTATCTGCAGATGTGGTGGAAATAGCAAGAGAACTAGAAGTGGACCGAAGGGTGTGACTAAATTGTTGCAATCTTATGATAAACTTTAACAGATGAGGAGTTGTTTCTTATGGATGAGCAAAGATAGCAGTTTCTTGAGATGGAATCGAATCCTGGTGAACAAGCTACCGAAGAGTGTAGAAATAACAACAAAGGATTTAGAATATTACATAAACTTAGTTGATAAAGCAGCAGCAGGTTTTGAGAAGACTGACTCCAACTTTGAAATCGGTTTTACTATGGTAAAATGCTAGCAAACAGCATCACATGCTACAGAGAAATCTTTTGTGAGAGGAAAGGTCAATTGATGTGCCCAAATTCATTGTTGACTTACTGTAAGAAATGGCCACAGCCACCTCAACCTTCAGCAACCACCACCCTAATAAGTCAGCAGCCAATAATACTGAGGCAAGACCCTCCACCAACAAAAAGATTATAACTTGCTGAAGGCTCAGACAATTGTTAGCTTTTTTTAGCAATAGAGTATTTTTTAATTATGTACTTTTTTTAGACATAATGCTACTGTACACCTAATAGATTATAGTGTAAATATAACTTTTTATACTCTGGGAAACCAAAAAATTTGTGTGACTCACTTTATTGTGATATATGCTATATTGTGGTGGTCTGGAACAGAACCAGCAGTATCTCAGAGGCATGCCTACATTCAAATAGTATAGTCCATGATTTCTACCTCTTGTGTCTTTAAAATGGACTCAAAGTTTAAAGTTACTTGCAAAGCACTAAATACAGACTCCTTTTATATTTTTCTGATATTTTAATATTTGACAGTTGTCTTGAAACTTTATTAACCAGTAAATTTCTAATGGTTTGCATTCATTTAATTTTTGCACAGCACTTACCTTTTATAAAAATTCTCTTTTTACTCATATTTCACTGGTTTGTGATTGATAATCTGTATTATGACCAATATCAAGCACAGATGACACATGCACACACAAGCTGAGTTTTCTTTGTTAGGACAAGAGCCTAGAATAATGCCTGGGACCTAATGGGCACTCAGTAAATATTTGTTAAGTGAATAAATGAATGGAACACAACTCAGGAGGGAGCAGAAGGGCTGTTTGTGTGCTAGAGAGGAGCCTACCAGCCTAGAAGATTCACATGCTATGGGCATTAGTCAGTATATTTTCCAAAAAGCATGGATAATCAGTTATTATAGCAAGTCTGTTAGATGGTGGATGCTTAAAAGTGCTTCCGCTGTATTTTGATTAAATATCTGGCTCAGTAAAAACTCTCCTTTATTTTCTGCATAAAACTGAGCACTACATCTAAGTTTCCTCTAGAAATAAACTACCTTCCTCCATGTTAACCTGTAACTAATTCAACTCCCCATTGTCCAGAGGTTTGTGAAACATTTGAAGCTGTCTGTGGGGGCCAAGCTCCTGAAGGGTGATTAGTAACATGTTCTCTCTTCAGTGATCCTAAGGACATTTGGAATCAATTAAATATTCAAATATAGATTCTCTCAGATCTTTGGCCAGGCCCAGCAGGTTTGTCAGGGGAAAGAGTTGAAGGCAGATAACTTGCTATTCCTCACACCAGAATCTATAGCTGGAGATAGATTTTAAAAATATACTCTCTAGACTTCCTGCGTCGGCAAGCAAATAGTCACACAAGATCAGAAATAATATGGAAAAACAATAGCAGCTCTATAGAGCAATAAGAGTTATAGCACACAGTACAACTATTTCTATACATAATATCTTAAAGACAAATCAGTGAGTGCACTGGGTTTGGAAGACTGTACTAGTCATATAAGTTACAATAGTATAGCCTGTGCTAGCTGGGAGTGGTTTTTACAATTTTAAAGGATTGTAAAATAAAAACTAAGCCACTATGTAAGAATATGTAATACAGATTGTACATGGCCCAAAAAACCTTAAATATTTACAATCTGACCTTTTACATGAAGTTTGCTGATCCTTGGTTTAGAGAGTTTTTCCCATCATATATACTCACCTGACTATTACTACTAATTACTATTACCATTAATAGTAATGGTTAGGTGCACAGAGGAAGGAGAAATGGATGTGTGCCCATGTGTGCCAGGCACTTTGCTAGATCCTCTAAATACTCTGTCACTTCCATTCACTGAGCAATCCTTTAAAGTAGGCATTTATATCTCAACAATGCAGCCAAGAAAATAATAACTCAGAGAGGTTAAGCAACTCGGCAAAGTCACGGGGGAGTTAAGTAGTGGAACTGTTAATCAAACTCAGTGTGATGGTGTGTTTAAGCTGTGAAACCCCCTTTCCAATTAAATGCTACTTAGAACCCCACTATATATAATAGTTACTCTGAGTGAAGTTGAGGCAGAAGGCTCAGCAATCTCTCCCCTTTTTGGAACAAGATGCTTGAAATAGAAGTCAATTTTTTAAAAAATGAAGTCAAGAACCAGCATGGAAACTGGATTTTCAACTCCCTTATTCCATTATCTGGCACATTGCTGAGGATGAGAGCAAGTATCAAGGTAACAGGATTGCCTTTTACTTCTCTCTCCCATGAAATGGTTAAAAGGGCATCAACAAAAGGGAGAAAGAGGGAGAGAGCAAAGGGCTTAAATAATCTCCAAAATGTAACTAGTCATACTGGAGCTGTTTTCCTTGATCCCATCAGACACAGTGGTGGGAAGGACATCTTCCAAATGGCAGCTCATTTTGCCTTAATAGTTGGTGTTTCCAGATAGGTTTTTAGTTTTCCATCAAGATAAATTAATATATAACATTTTATTATGGTGCCACAAACAAGAACTCTGAAAGGCTCAACTCTTACAGAACATCCAAATCCCCTGAAAAGCATCAGGTATCAAAATAAGGCCAGAAAAGATGGTATTAAACGAAAAAAGGAGGCTCCTTTTTAATGAAGTCAAGGTGTAGGACAGATTTATTAGTTTCCATTTCTCCAAGTTGCATTCTGGTGTATTTCCTGCCCATATTTCTAAATTCAGCAGGTCTCTTTGTAGGATTACTTTTTAAAAATACAATGTTTCAAAGAACATGATGCAGCTATAGCCACTACACCTACAGAGGCACACCTGTGACAATACAAACAATGTGTTTCTCCTATTCGCAAGGTAATGCTCTAACATAAAATAGATCTTCCTTATGATCTGCCAAGATCTTGCCATTCTCAGAAAGAACTGATACTGGTAACCAGATATTATAAATTGGTCTTTAAAATGACCAATTAATGATTAGCCCTGGCCAAAATAGTTATTAAACTCAGTGTAGCTGTCTATCTTTTAGTGTCATAATTCCTCTTTCCAATGTTAGATGGAAAGACAAATAAATGAAATTTTTAAGTAGATACTTTTGATGCCATAACACAGACACCTACTATATTCCTATATGGGCTCAATTATTTTTATGCATACCATTCATTCACTCATTTATTGAATTTTTACAAATATTGTCAGGCACTACTACTCTTGACTCACTACACTTGAGGGAGGAAAACTAATAAATCTCTTTTCCTTAGATAATTCCTATTTTAATTATCTAATTGGACCTGTGAAGAGATAACTAGTGTACTAAACTCCTAGGAAAACCACCAACATCAATGAAACCAAAGTAGGAGAGAATTCTCTCTGCCCACAGGGATTAGGGAAAACAACACACTAGAGAAGAACCTAAAGGGTAAGTTGTACTCCCAAGGAAAAGTGGAATATCCAGACTGAAAGAACAAAATGAAGAAAGGGCTGGAAGCAAGTGAGTGGGTGACTATTCTATACTCAGGGCTGAGTAATCCCTAAGGGATGATTAGAGATGTGCTGGCCAAAATGCTAGTGACTAGACATGTGCCTATTTAATTAACAGTAAATAAAATTAGAAATTCAGTTTTTGGTTGTATTTCAAGCACTCAATAACCACGTGTCTAGGACACACCGCACTGGACAGTGCAGACAGAATTCTTTCCACCACTGCAGAAAGTCCCATTGGACAGTACTGAGTTTAAAAGTACAAGGTAAGCCTGTCGCCAGCTCATAGAAAATCTCAAATGCAGGCGCCCTCAAACTACGGCCCACGGGCCACATGTGGGCTGCTAGGACATTTATCAGGCCCGCTGGGTGTTTTTGCTGCCTTTGCTGCCGCTGCCTGTCCTGCTTAGCAGCTGACTCGTCTGGGGCCCACAGTGCGCACGTGTGGAATGTGCGCCGCACTCTCCAACGGCCCTCCAATGGTTTGAGGAACAGTGACCTGGCCCCCTGTTTAAAAAGTTTGAGGACCCCTGCTAAAATGTATACTGAAGTCTTTAAACTTTAAATATTAATAGAAGTAGTTTATAAACTACTATGTTCTACAAAGTCCTTTTAGGAATAGACTTGGGGTACTCCATCTCTGCAGCAGCTAGGATCCCTTTCACACATCCAGCTTCATTTGAGCAGAAGACTTCTTTTGAAGAAAGAATTCTGCAGATAAAAAAGAAAAGGCTGAAAACACACCTTTTCAAGTAGGGATGTGACAGCACAACACAGATTTGGGTTTTAGAAGTATCACCTCTCAGAGCAGTATGCAAGACAGGTGGCAAGAAGAGACTGGGGAGCCCAAGATCAGCAGAGGTCAGTGAGGACATGATAAAGGGCGGTGTTCAGTGAAAATTCTAAAGAACTACACAGTTAAGAATTTGCATCAGTAGATTTATTCCAAGTAAGATTTGTGTGCACACACCAAGTATATTATTTTCACATAAAATGCAGCATTACAGTAAAAGTATTTAACACTTTGGCCATAAAACTCTAAGATATTTGAAAAACCTCTCAAGATAGTATTTTAAGCTAACAAATTCTTTAGTTTTTGCCATCCATGCTTGCCCAGTTATAATTTTTGAAATGTAATTGTATTTTTCATTATACTTATTACTCATTATACTTATTACATATAACATCTTTGCTGAAATTTTGTTAAGCAAAAAAATAACCTTTCAGTAACTTCAAAATATCCATATGTACCTCTTTAGCAGTGCTAGGTAAAACCAAAATTGTTTTTTATTCAAGTATTAATGGCAAGTGCTCAAGCCATACCATTCCTGATTACAGATAAAACTAATACCCAGTTTTATAATAGCTCTTTTACTCATTGTTTCTATTTTACTATGCCAACCATCACTTCACTGATATCCCAGAGTTTTCTTGCAACAGACTCGTCCATAGCTTTGGGCAACAGTTCTTCCTCTTTACAATCCCCAAAGTATCTTCCTGACACTCCTTCCACCTTGGGTGAAGAGGCTAAATAAATGGAAGTCTGGGCACCTTCTACTGGAGTTTTGAAAAAAGCCCATGACACCAAATTGAAGAGTGGTTTGACCAACGGTGGAATGTGTATGTGCCTCCCAAGATTAGTCCGTGTAATACCAGGATGTAATACATTGACAGTAACGTTTGTGCCTTCTAAGCGGCGGGCTAGTTCCCTGGTAAAAAGAATGTTAGCTAGTTTGCTCCGACTATAACAAAAGCTTTTATCATAGCTTTGTTCACTGTTCAGGTCTTCGAAGTTGATGTCTCCGTATTTATAAAGTTTAGAAGAAACTACCACAATCCTGCTAGGAGCTGAACTTTTGAGGAGTCCAAGGAGAAGATTGGTAAGTAGGAAGTGCCCCAGATGGTTCACTCCAAACTGCATCTCAAACCCATCTTCAGTCTTCGTATAAGGGCACTGGAAGATCCCTGCATTATTGATCAAGACATCCAGCCTAGGCTCTTCCTTTAAATGTCAAAAAGAGAATGGCAGAAGTAAGAAAATAGGCCTTTTATTGCTTTTTCTCTTCCTGATGTTTTAATAAAAATAAGAACTTGAGACTAAACGTATTTAATTTTAGTTGTTGGCCTATGGATCAGAAAACTACTTGAAACATTAGCAATTTTGTTTTTAGTTAGTGGGGGAAGGGATTCCTTTGCAGAATGTTCCTCAGATAAATACTGATATTCATGACCTTTTTCACTCAATAGCTCCTTTTTCTCACTGAAATAATATGCAGAAAGATATTTAATCACAGTAACCTGACAGTAAGATGTGTAGAAATTCAATCTAAGACTTAATTTCTGGTGTTAAGCTTTTATAACAATATTTACAAATACATACACTTTGATGTTTCACTAGAAAGTTGACTACTTGATCAGTACCAAGACCTTTCTTGAAACAGAAATACAGTCAATTTGGGAACAAGGCACTCCTATGATTCCAGATTTCTTCCTTTAATTTCAGTTTAACTAGGAAAATATCAATTTGGGAGTTAACATGTTAATACTGAGATCATATCAAAATCATAATAAATGTGCCAATGATAAAAATTTTAAAGATTCTTTTAAACTACTAAAATTCTGTTAAATGCTTCTATGGGCTTCTAACAAGTGATCAAATTAGAAAAACAAAAAGATTTGCAATCTTAATAGGGACCTATCCTTGTGCTTTTCACATGTTACCACATCCACTTCCAACAACTGTATAAGCCCTTGGAAGCACAGCAGCTAGGTGACTGGCCCAGTATCACAGAGCTTCTAAGTGGCAAAACAAAAATTCCCATTTGAAGATAAAATCTTTTGACACCCAGGCTCCTTCTCTTAATTAGTAATTTACCTTGGCTTTCTAATTGGATTTTCAAAAGATGGCTAGAGAGGCAATGTGAGCTAGAGAGACCATACACAGCAGGTGACAGGTGAACACTGTTTATTCCCAGAGCTACCAGTATCAACCAGGGGCGAAATTATGATTGCTGTATTCTGTATTCTCTGAAGAGTAAATGGCACCAAGGGGATGGAGAGATTGCAAGTCATTTCCTTAAAAATGCAACTCACAATAGAAAAGGTCAAGAATGCAAACTTAAGACTACAGAGAACATCATGAATAAATCAAAGGAAGATTAAGCAGCAACATTAAAACAGGTAATATAAAAATATCAGAAACAATGCAGTGATTCATAAATAATAATAGCAAAAAAGATAAACCGCTAAGGTAGGTCAACAAATGCCTTTAACCTCTTATTATGATGCTAGAATTCAGTCATTTTGTTCTCTGCATAAAAACCATCTCTATCAAGCTTTAAGCAGCCCCCAACTCAGGAGATCTATATAGTGAGAATTTTGTACTTTGACCATATCTCTCTGCATTGTTCCAGGTTAAAGGCTTAAAATTTAGACTGTTCTCATAGGGAAGACTTTTCATTCCTTAAATCAAGTAAGTTGGTCTTCTCTAGCCCTTTTATGGCTCCTCTGTGTCTCTTTTGATGGACAGAGAAAAAGAAATGCACGTGTTCCAGGTGTAAGGACACTGTGATGACCCACGATTAAATTAATATGAGGTCAAATTTCAAATTTCACTGGCCCCCTGCCAAGTATAAGTGAAAAGAAAAATGTGTTAAATTTCACAACTGTTATCAAAGCCTGTCAGATGATTAACTATTTCTCATTCTGGCCTATCTAAGCACCTTTCGTTTTCCAATAGTCAACTTCAAAAAGAAGGCAAGAGTTCACCCATGGGGGAAAGAAAGGAGTGTTCTTTTTCACTAATCCTTTGGAAGGGTTTCCTGAATTAATCATTTCTGAGCCATCATTCTTTGCTGGCCTTGTGTTATTTTAAGACTTTATCATTTACTATTTTTTAACTTTCCAGGAGATAAATGACATAAATACCAAGAATACCAACCTGTGAGAAATCTATACTTCCATTTTTTTTTCTTCTAATTATAGTGACCGAATTTCAGAGCCAGCCAGGAATGTAAATACTTAGAAGCAAGGACAACTTACTTATCTTTTTGTGTCCTTACCTTTTAATTGCTTCTGCCTCAAGTGGTCAAAGTAGCCAAGTATTACAGGTATCACCAATGAGAAGCACACCCAGCCCCATCTACATTTTCATGGAGAAAGACCCACTTCTAATACTTCCAAAATCTCTCATAGATGAATATTATTTCTTATTTTTTAATCTGTGTTACACAATAATGAAATACTAGCAATAAGAAAACAACTCTCTAGATCTGCAACTGCTCCCAAATTATGACTCAAGGTGCACTGGAGCACCGTACCAAACTCCCAGGGTGCTGTGGAATACTTCAGCTTTTCATAGGAAACACAACAGTACTCTGCTCAAAACCTCAAAAACTACCAGGTCCAGGTGGTTCAGTTTCAACATTATATTGTGCTATATTCCTTTTGATGAAATAATTTCTTTGTGAAGCTGAATTTTTAGCCATTGTTAACAGCTTCTATAACAAAAAGCAAGTACAATGCTAAAAATTTAAGTAGAACAGGAAATGAGGGTGGCAGGGTCTGTTTGGGAAGTTGGTGCAGTGACCAACAGGCACACAGCTCCCATTAGTAATTATGGTTATTTAAGAAGAAATAATTTTTTTCTTTCAATTATGTGTATTATTTTCTCAAACAGCTACTAAGTTGTTAGGACATAACTATTTACTTGGTTGTTTGGACCTAATTACTTAATAAACAAACTGGGAGATCTTTCTTTTGGCTCAAGGCCACCATAAAAAATTACTGAGAAAGTTTGGGAACCTCGGCTTTAGTCTCAAGAGACTCCATTTCATAATAGGCACTTTTCTGTGGCAGCTTATTTTAAATCTCACTCTTCTGAATCAATGTCCTCTTTCAAGTCATCCCTGCAAGAAACCCTTCTACCTCAATTCAACAGACAGCATCCACTTTAGTGGAATATTTACTATATGCACAAAGAAATCCTCCCACCTCACTGCCAGGTAGCAAGAGCATAGAATAAGGGTTAAAAACAATGGCTCTAGGAGATACTAAGTCCACCTATGCTTCAGTTTCCTCAAGTTGTAAAATGGGGATAATAATGCAGGGTGACTGTGAAGATTTCAGGACAATAATACCCAAGGGCATTTAATTGCATTTAAAATTAAAAAGAGAAAAGTATCCAAAATGCTTGGCCCAGCTTCTAAAATACAGCGAACCTCCAATAAAAGCTAAGTATTATTTTTCTGTCCCTTTTAGAGCATGATCACTAGATTTCCAAGCTCCATTCTATTGGAAATCAGGCCAAAGTCTTGTAGGATGGTGTTATTGAGTTCGCCAGTGGCAGCAAGCTACACTCTCTACTCCAGTAAGAGAGGAGAGAGGGGAGAGGGGAGAGGGGAGGGAGGGAGGGAGGGAGGGAGAGAGAGAGAGACAGAGAGAGAGAGAGAGAGAGAGAAAAGAATAAGGAAAAGGACTGATTTCGAAGGTCCTTGGCTAGCAATTTTCTGCAGTGCTCTTAGGCTCAAAAGACATGGCTTAGTGCCGATTCACTTCTGACACAGGAAAACTGAGCCCAGAGGATCTCCTCCAGGAACGTCTTCACATAACCAAATGAAATGCTCAGAGACTGATTCATTTATTATTTTTCTCTTGGGCCCATTCTTTCCCCGACATCCTTGGAGGGCAGAAGACGGCCCTCTCAGCTCTCTTTCCTTCTCAAGCCAGTGACTTCACAGCCTCTCAAGTGGCTGTTTTTTCTCTTCGCAGTCTCAGTCACACCTCCTGGACTCTGGGGCGGCCCCAGCCCGGCCCCCAGGCTCCTCCTACCCCGCGCCCCGGCCCAGGCCTTCCCTCCTCCTCCTCCTCCTCCTCCGCAGCTCGGCCCCCACCCCCGAGACCCACACCTGGAGCATGTCCTGGCAGAAGGCGCGCACTGAGCGCAGCGAGGCGAGGTCCAACTCCCTGACGACAAGCTCGCCTGCCCCGCCGGCGCCGGGGTCAGGCCCGGACTCCCCGGCCTGCAGCTCGCGGCGGAGCTGACCGGCCGCCTCTTCCGCGCGCACGCGGTCCCGGCAGCCCATGATCACCCGCGCCCCCAGGCGCAGCAGCTCGGCGGCCGTGGCGCGGCCCAGGCCGCTGTTCGCGCCGGTTATCAGCACCGTCTTCCCGTGCATGAGGCCAAGGGTCCCACTTCCGTGCAGCCGCTGGACCCTGGGCCCCACGAACCGCCGTGCCGCCAGCCACAGCGCACCACCCAGAGCGGCCAGCAGTGCCGCCGCGGTAGCCACCGCCATAGCCTCCGGGTCCGAGGGCCCACCGGCCCCTGCGCTGGACTTCGGCTCCGCCTTCCCAGAACCAACCCTGCCACCTGCACGCGAAGAACTCTGGGGCGTCACCAGTCGGCCCCCAACGCTGCGCGCTTGGCATGCCGGGACTTGTAGTTTCCCTCTTGAAGGCACCTGATTGGTTGAGAGAATTGCGCGCTCTAGGTCATGTGCCGTCGATGGAACGTGCTCCCAGCCCAAAGGTGGAGGCTGGGCACCCGCGGCAGTTTTCAGGCTGCTGGGGTTCCTGACCATCGAAATTCCAGGGTGGTGGCAGCCTACCCAGTGGGAATGCTAGATGAATACTTTGAGTTTACAAATCTTTCAATTGTCCAGGTTACAAATGCCACTCTTCAGGACATTTCGTATGTTCTCCTTTAAGGGCTCCTGTGACTTGTAAACTCAGTTCAATTTACTTTTACTTCTGGAGAATGGTCCCTGCCCAGCTGAAGTCCGAGGAAGGACCGTTTTTTTTTTCATGGTGAGAATAAGAATTTAGCAACATGAATCAGTTGGAAATACCATGGGGTTTGGTGGCAGGGGGTACGAAACAAACAAAATTTCGGGGTTCCAGTACCAGGGTTTCTCATTCACTAGGTGTGGGATGGGGCCTGGGCATATGCACTTATAACAAATTCCCAGGTGATGCTGATGTTGCTGCTGGGGACCACACATTGAGAACCACTGAAGAAGACCATTATGGCATTGGTCCCTAAAGAAAAAGTCATCCTCAAATGATCCAATTTGACACAATAGGAGTAGGTTGGACTAATTATAAACATAGACTTCTGAACAGGTCCATTCACAAATACATCCCTGCTCCCTCCATGGGACTATTACATCTAACAATGGAGGACGAAGTGCTTTGTAGATTGTCAAATGCTTCATAAATGTCAGGGATGGTGCCACAGAGACCCATCTTCAAGCTGCAAACTGCGTAGCTTTAGACAAAACTACTCTTGAAGATTCCATTCATTCATATATTTACCGATTTAATGTGTGTCAGACCCTGCCTATGTCCTGTGAGAGCCACAGAGAAATAGGACACCATTCCTGCCCTCAGGGTGCTTATTGTCTGGTACAGAGATCTTCTACCTTTACTGGCACTGAGGACAAACAGCTCGCTAGGGCTGGCTATTTGAGTTTTGCACATTTGACTTTCTCTACCAGATTGTGAAGGTTTAACTTTCCTAAAGAATAGGGTTATGTCTGAGTCCTTCTTGTGGTCGTCACGTAGGAGAACACCCAGAAAACAGTAGGTACTCGATAAGTATCACATGTCATGACTGATATATTTTCGACTGGCTTACATCTAATTAGGGAGCAAATCAAAAGATGTGTTTCAGCTGTGGCCTTCTCTCAACTAGAGCCAGGGGTGGAATATGTATGTACAGGTCGGGTAGAGTTGGAGGCAAGGATAGAGAGAGCTGGAGAGAGTATGATGAGGACAGGAGGAGAAAAATCCTTAGACCTGCAGTGTAACTGCTATGTAGTCTATGCATGGAACTTAGTGGAATGATTAATCTGTTCCTGATAGATCCAAAGTCCATGGAATTAATCACAACAATTAATTACAACTCTATTTGGAAGAAAGGAAAAAGACATCATACAGCTTTTGAAGTAAGATCTGAATTTGAATCTTAGTCTTACCACTTACTAGCTCCACATCCTTAAGCAAGCTACTTAGTTCTTCTGAATATTAGGTTCCTCATTGATAAAAAGGAAGGTAATAATAATACTATGTCACAAACATTTAATTTGGTAAGAAAATTAGGTAATGTGAAAATAACCAGTTCATTGTGCCTAACATATGGAATATTATGGTTAATAATCTATAGATTTTTGTTGCAAATGAAACAAAAATCAAAATAGAATGACAATGAAGGGCCAAAATACTACACTTCATGTTACATTTTGAAGTGATGGCCAAGGATTTTTGTTTGTCTTCCCATACAAACATTGGGTCAACCTGCCAGACCCAAAGCCAGATACTTCAAATATGAAGCTTTGTGGTGTCCAAGGGCAATTAACTCACCAAGTAAGCTTCAAAGAATCAATCTTTCCCAGGAGGTTCTGTCTAGAGCTCCTCTTAGAAAGTACCTGTGAGAACAATCAGCTGATTTATTTCTAAATAAGCAACGTCAAAATCGGTACACTTATGCAGGTGGAGTGCATTCTCATTTTGCATTGGTTAAAAAGCTGGTCATAGAGGCAACAGAATTATAAAGCTTCAGTTTTCAAGAGTGTACTTAATCATACACATTCCACCTTTGAACATCACTACTCTAGAATGATGATGGGTAACAATTCATTCCATCTACAATCATCTGAAAATGAGTAATCTTTTGTAAAACTAAGTAAGATTCTGAAACAGACCCTTAAGCATGCAAACATTCTAGTTCTAACTTATCCTAAAGAGTCATCATTATGACTTACACAGAGATAGGTACAATGGCATTCAACAGCATTGACAGCTCAAAAAAGTCCTTTAAAGGTAACTTGAGGGTTCAAAATGTTTTCCAAAAAATCAAGAGAAAACCTTTTCAAAGGAACTAAGTTCTGTGGTCCAGTCTACTGAAGTATCTAATTACCCTAGAGAGCCAAAAGAAGTGGCTTCTGCGATTCACGCTGTCACTGCTTTATTTCTCCTCCCTGTCTCTAAGCACTGTATTTTTGACTATGGCCATAAGGTACATGAGCTGCAATGGTGCCTAATTTCTGTGCCCCTTCAATGTGGAACATGTGGTCATCAAAGAAGATGTGGGGCCGGATCTTCATCAAGATGGGACCTTTGGGAGCTCCAGCAAGGAAAAGAGCTTCGTCTATCTCTAGACCCCAGCGGCGAAGGGTCTTCAGCACACGGGCACCTGAACTGGCTGCACTCCTTGCTGTTACCAGGTAGGTCCTGATAGGACAAAGTAACCGTTCATTTTTGGCATAAAACTTCTTTTGCAGTCTGCCTAAATCTTCCAGAAAGCCTTTCAAGGGACCCTGTAAAAGGAACATATATCAGAGCTGTGATCCAGTGAACCAAAGAAAGTGAGTGCTGAAAAAGCAGAGGCTTATAAGAGCTTATAAAAGGATATACTACAGCATGGCATGCAGTATTATGAGGCTGACAGCACAATGTTTAAACTCCATGTATTTATGTGAATATATTTCCTGATATGCAACGGTCCTTGCATTCCTGGAATAAACCTAGGATGACCATGTGATTTATCATATGAACCCAGATATTTTAAGTGTGAAAGAATGTTCTATAAGTAATTAAACCAAGACAACAGACATAATCTATCCATGGTAAACTGGGGTGGTGGTCACTCTAAACAAACTCCAGTTGGTTGCCTAAAGCACTAGTGTTTTTATTTGCTTTTTGTGAACTGCATGTGTTAATGTCATGAAGTATATACCCTTTTGTCTAGTTCAATGACTTTTGGCCTGAATCTAATCATATTTACAGTTGCTTCATATATTTCACAATTGCTTTCATTTTTAACCTTTCTAAACACTTAGCTTTAGCTGTCTCACTTATATAGAGCTTAGAATTGGATTTTTCTATGTGATCCAATCTGAAAGTTTTACTTTTTAAAAGAATAGTTGAGTTTTAGCTAATTTACATTTATTTATGTTGTAAATACACTTGAGATTGGTTTTGTCCTGTGATTTTTATTGCATTTTCTATGTTTAAAGATTCTAAAGGATTGTTCAATGGCTTTTATCTGTCTTCTTTGTATGTGTGTATGGGTGATTCTTCTGGCATTTAAGAAGATTTGCGTTATTTCCTTCATTGAATACTTTTATAAGTCTAACCTTTAATCCTGGATCTATTATTCTTTACCATGAGAAATAATAAAATTAAGATGTTTTTTCAATGTCTCTCTAATCTTCTATTTCTTATCCACCATCTAATTTTAGTCATTTAGTTGATCTTCTTCAGTGTGTAGATTTGAATTATTAAGTATTCTTTTATTTCTGTTTATCAGCTTTACATTTCATTCTTTGGCCACTGTAACTGAAACGTATCAGCACACTTTTCCATAGACCTTCTTTTCCCCATATTTTTCCATTTTTTGTTAGTTGTATAATTTCTACAATGTCAGGACACATTATATTTGCTTTTTTTCCTGCCATCCTAATACCTGTGTTTTTTTTAGTTGAATATAGTCTATGCTCAGTTGTGCCTTTGTACTTCCAGTCACCCACACATTGGCTGAAATTTGTTCTCTAGTACTAATTTTCACAAAAAACATCTTTGGAAATAATCCCTGAGAATACAGTATGTTCTCAACTATTTATCTTTTCCTGTTTATTTAAATGAAATTTTGCCTGGATATAGAATACATGGTTTATATTTACTCTCCATGAAATCGTATAAATAGCGCTCCACTGTCTTTTGCTATTAAGAAGCTTGAGGGCAGCATCTTGGTCCCCCACTCAACCCTTTTAGCACTTATGGTGATTATTCCCTGTGGGCCATCAGCCCAAAGAATTATTTATTCATTTTGAAGTCCAATAATTTCACTATGCCGTGTCTCAGCAATGAGCATTCTGATTCTATTTCCCTATTACAAAATGTGGGCCTTTACTCTTTAATATTTTAATAATGTATGCATTAAAATCTTTGCCAGTATCACACAGAGACTCGCGCCAGCAGGTCAAATACATGAACTGTGCGGTAGCTTGAGAGCCAGTCTTGGGCAGAGAGTGAATGTACATGGGCTAATCTGAGGGAAGAGTGCTGTGCAGTTCCAGGGAGAAAATAGGAAGGGCGCATGTCCCACCCCACAGAGAAACTGAGCTAGTGGACAGGGATGGGAAAAGCCTGGTTTGGGGCCTTAGCAATCATACAATTAGGTCCCTCCCCTGGGAGCAGTTCTCCAGGCTTAGAGAGATTGCCCTGAACTCCGTATCAGTGGCTCCTCCTAGCGGGCAGATAAACAACCTCTGAGCCCTGCTGAGGCTTAGCAAAGTCCCTCTCACTCTCGTATTCTAGCCATGATCTGTCTTGCTCCCGACATCAAAGGGGGCTTAGGGACCAAGCAACCCCATAGGAACTACAGAGTCCCTCTAAAATGTTAGGGCA